ACTGGTTCGGTTGCATTATTGCTGCCAACGGCAACCATTAAGGCTACCGCCGCCCCAAAGGACATTGACCCCAGGCAGCGATGTCATGACTTGGGGTAGGAAAACTTTGCAATAATCATAAAATTGGACACTGTTAGTCTCAAAGCTGTATGCGTTGGGGGTATCCCATTGGTTGAAGAGTTGGCTCGTCACGCCGAGCGATCAGGTTCTATTCCCCACATGGAACAATGTGCGCAGCTCCTTGTGGAGTCCCCAACCGTGATATCTTCAATAGATATTATTTCTAAAGGGGCGGTAAAACCATATTCACTGAATCAACGGTGTATGTTTAGGCTCTTGTAACAACAAAACGCCAGGTAGGGTTCAAATTCTCTCACGAGTTATTGATAAAGAAAGGCTAAACAAACCACATTCATCACGGACGCTTCAATTTCCCTTTCTCTCAATTATATGGCATGTGTGTCATCTATGATCATATGTGCTGTACAGATAAACTGAGAGAAACAAATAAGGGATCACAGGAAAATTCAAAGCGTTCCTTTAATATTTCCAGTTTTCCATCACCAGCTTTGATAGCGATGAAAACTGGAAAATATCGAAGGCTTGAATTTTCCTGTGATTCATTTCTATCTCGATATATGTCGACATTGTCAAAGTCATGGCCAGATCTAGTGCAGAGTTAATTCTCCAATTTGAACAGACAGAGATTTCAGGTACATTATGAGGGTGCACTGAGTACTTGCATTCATTATCGACTGAGTTAATTGAGGTCAGTTTGGTTCATCGCAGCTTTGAAGAATGTTCCAGATATACTCATGCCATTAATGGTTTATCACCCCCCTCCCACTAGCCCACCTCCACACCTACCCACACCCCCTCTCAATTAAAAAAATTGAAGGGGGTGACAACCAGTATTGGCATGAGTATGTTTCACGACGTTTTCCGGCTTAATGTGGGAGGAGTGCAAAGAATTATTGCACGTCCCAGAAGTGTACCTCTTTAATGCCAGAAACCACTTAAAGCACGACTTTGAACTACAACAACTAGAAACATAAATCAACCATTATTGGCTCGCGTTGGGGTCCCCAACTTACTGAACTGCGTTCAAGTGGACCCTTATCCTGCCTGGTCATGTCCAAGATAATTTCTGTCCGCTTAGTCCATTTTGAGCGTGCCACAGTGTCCGTTTAGATATGCGCAGTGATTGATACATTTATGTCAAGCTACGTTTTAGACGAAAATATCTTAGCTGTAACCCAATTTGAGTTACCGGGACATTACAAGTCAATGTTGTGCCACGGTAGGTGATCTGTATACCATCAATATCACAGCGGCCATTGGGCCACAAGTCTGAGTCCTGCAACATTTGAAAGCATGAGCGAGGCTATATCATGTGGACGACAGCACATAGATTATCTTGTCGCACATATTGTTTCTGTCTGCGTATCGGTTGTAATCCCTTGTTTCTATATTATGTTGTTAATCCTGCAGCTTTGGCCATGTTGTAGAAGATGCTGTCGGGCTCATTGCAGCAGGGAGGAAGGTGATCAAACTCACACACATGGCCGTTGTCCAAGACCAGGATCTAGAATATATATGTTACATTTCATCAATACCGGCAATTCATCTGATAATACTATATTTCTTTTCTGTGCATGTTTGTGGTCACTTCTACCTAAGCAATATTCGGTTCTACGACGGCAACCTATAACTTGTCAATCTTGGCGTTGCTATTAAAGAATCAATCGACTATTGCGCATATCTTTCCTGAATATGACACTGTGATGCGTGAGAGTACAAAGATCACAGGTGGCGAAATACTGTGATGTGTAAAGCGACACGAAGATACTGTCGCATAGTCCATGACGGTGTTGAGTCTGTGGGCGATGGTCCGGCACCGATGCAGTCGATGAACTCTGACCTGATGGTCTGCTGGATCAGGTCATCTGTTTCCATGTCAACGGCTGCAATGCCTCGCCCAGTACTAGTATCTGAATTAGCTTCTTCAGAGCTCTGGCGAATTACAAAACTTGCCGCTGACCAACACTGAAATATGCCAGAATAATAACCGACACGCTGGCTACAGCGTAGATTGCGTGGGAGTGATATTTTGCAGAGATAATAAGGTAAATTACAACAAACAATGTCATCAGTTAGTACCTCATTTTTCACTTCTTCGCTACACTCGTGTTCCAGTCCATCAGGAAGTACCTCCACGCAAACGTCTTTCAGATGAGCCTGTTCCAGTGCCGCCAGATCTGACTGCCCTGAATACTGGTTGAAGGGTCAACACTGCCTCTGAGACTTCCGGCAAGCAGTACAGGATCCTGCAAGTGACTTTCACAGCATTTCTTCATATTACTCTTTCAATATTCACGGTCGTTTTGTTATTATTACAAACTATATCATTTGTAATATCAAACCCAATGACGGAGATAAAACGATAACAAGGTCCACATACCTGCTGAGATAGCATGGTGAGTTTGAAACACAAGTCATGCAGACCTACCCGAGGGAGTATATGGTGGAGTTTGATCCTGAGGTCATGCAGACATACCCGAGGGAGCATGGTGAGTTTGTTCCTGGAGGTCATGCAGACATACCTGAGGGAGTATGGTGAGTTTGATCCTGAGGGTCGGCGCAGACATACCTGAGGCAGTATGGTGAGTTTGTTTCTGGAGGTCATGCAGACATACCTGAGGGAGTATGGTGAGTTTGTTCCTGAGGTCAGCGCACAGACATGCCTGAGGTAGTATGGTGAGTTTGTTCCTGAGGTCATGCAGACATACCTGAAGGCGGTATGGTGAAGCTTGTTCCTGAGGTCATGCAGACATACCTGAGAGAGTACGGTGAGTTGCTCCTGAGGGTCATGCAGGCTTACTCTGAGGCAATATGGTCGGTTTGTACTGAGGGTCATACGAACTTACCTGAGGTAGTGTGGGTGGAGTTTGTTCCTGAGTTCATGCAGGCTGACCTGAGGTAGAAAATGGTGAGTTTGCTCCTGGAGAGGTCTATGCAGCCAGGGTGTGTACTGACGTCGAAAGCGCCATCTATGTTGATCTCTCCTCCTGCAGTGCTTCTATCAGCCGGAACAGGGACCGAGTCAGAGAGGACTTCCCAGCTCCGTCCTGCCCACGATGCCCACCTTGGATGTAGAATACATGTATACAGGAAGTATTGGTTCCTGACAAAAATGAAGAATTACCATCCCTCTTGCAGCTACTATCAGTTATGGAACAGGGACTGAGCTCAGAGAAGGGGGACTTCTCAGCCCGTCCTGCCTACGATGCCCACCAGGATGTAGAATACATGTATAAGACACCTGTTGGGTTCCAGTGCAATAAAGTAACGGTCTTGAAAACGAGTGATTAAGCTCTTCTGATACAATGTTTGGTTGCCTTTACCATACATGTCATCCTATGAGCGAAGTCACCGTTGGAAATGCCTAGAGTATTATTCTTGTAATTCTTGAAATGTGTGGTGTTAGTCGGAAATAAGCTCAAACATAGTTCAAAGGTACTTTTACACCAAAACCAAAGTACTCGCATATATGTAATGCTTTCATTAAGTACTCTGTTTTTAATAGTCAACACAATCCCTATCTGAAAATAACATATGGATATGTCAGTACTTTCTTCATTTACCTTCTCTATGGAATGCACTTGTAGACGTATACTCCCTTGAGAACAAAGGTCTAGGCCTTCTCTATATCGCAAAGGAACTTCACCGCATTGGCCAGTCATGAGTTGGACGTCTTTCGGGTATGTCCCATGCTGGCTGGTTTTGTATAAACCTTCGTATCGTAAACACTGGCATCCATGTTGCAAGTGAGTGAGTGAGTTTGGTTTTATGCACACTCAGCAATATCTCGAAACTATATGGCGGTGGTCTGGAAATAATCGAGTCTGGACCGGAACAACCCAGTGATCAACAGCATGAGCATCGATCTGGCGCAATTGGGGAACTGATGACGTAATGTCCAGCCAGTCAGCGAGCTCTTCACCCGATCCGTTAGTCTCTTACGACAAGAGGTTACTGAATTCATTCTAACCAAGGATCTTCACAGGTCGCATCCATGTTACAGAGTAAAGGCAAGCGTATGAAGATCATATCACGTTCAACAGGTATTCTAGTCGATTAGAATGCTAATGTATACAACAAAAGGGTATCACCAACGTACATCTCCACTGACATTATTAAAATCAAAATATTTTAGATATTTAAATGCCTGAAAACAATATCATGACTGTGTACTGTGCCTTATGCTCTTCGAAACACGATTGGAAAACTGAAGCCGATATCATCCTATCTTGGATTCTATCTAGTATGTATGCATTGTGTCGCGCACACTGGCCAGAAGGTAATGACCAAGCCGACACGTGACCGTGGAATAATCACATTGCTTTTTCGCCAACAGGAACAGACGTAGCTGTGGAAGGAACTGTTGCCCTCCTAATTACATTTCCAGTTATACGTGATATATTACGGTATGTTCTTTGTTCGTTATCCCATTCCTACCGAGTAGTATATAATCAGAAATAAACAACCTACCGGATTTCTGTTTTCGTTTTCGAATCTCCGTTCGGTGCTAGTTTTCCTCGCCTCCTTCACTGTGAGCTTCGAGTTGGCGAGTTTCCTGTACTCGTTTGGGAGCAGGACAACTGCTACCTATGACAATTGCCACCTAGATCTTTAATAACATCAATGGAGATGTACGTTTGTGATACCTTTTCTCATACACATGTGGTAAAAGTAAGTTAAAAATTTAACGTCTTAGGTTATTTTGTACCTCTGGAATGTATTTTCGTATACTGCTTGACCCTCTCCACCATGACGATCTGTGTCTCTTACTTCTGACACCAGCTGCACCATCAGTTGAGGTTAGCGGTTATCTGAAATGATTATTGCACACGGCAACGGGATGCATGAGTGAAAGGAATGGAATTTGACCTTCAATTACCGTGACAAATGTATTATTATGACCATTACAAGGGACACTGCCAGTATATGTCCCAATATGTGTCCTAGTTGCAAAACAGAACATGGTAAATGCTCGAATGTACAGTGTAATTCCTGGATTATAATACCAAACTGGATATAATGCCATTTCCTCTGGTTTTAATGCCAATTACACTTTGTGCATGCAGAACACGTACCTTTAATTGGATGACTGACATATGACTCGGATTAATTGACCAAACACGTTAATACTTCTGCTGAATGGTTGAACAAATTCACCGGGATGATGAGAAGTGAATCGCGTGTTATTGCACCATTATATGACCATTACAAGGGACACTGCCAGTATATGTTTCCAAATATGTGTCCTGAGTTGCAAACTGAACATGATCATCCTGGCCATCAGAAATGGGTTTCATACAGTGTTCCATGTGGGGAATCGAACCCGGGTGTTCGGCGGGACGAACCAGCGCTTTTAACAGTTGGCTATCCCACCACTTACAAATAAATGATCGAGGGTACATACAATATGCCTTCATTGATAGGATGACAAAGGCTGCCAAAAATAGTGCCAAAGCAGGAACCGAAACTATGCCGATCATTCCAGCGATAATGGTCAGGTGTCTGTGGCACTTGTAGAATGTAAGAATCTTCAATTATGAATTTGATAATAACCTGAATAACCACGGGTCACAAAGGTGTGTAACTTGAACACACTTATAACGAACTTATGGATATAACGAACCGTGTCTTTGTTCGCCGCCGGACCCTTTAACCCGGATTGAAATGTGAAAACCGAACTGTGACTGCAACGACTCCAAGATCATTCTTCCCTTTGAGTTCGTTGTAACCGTTAAAACTGTACATACCTCAAAAGCATAGAGGAGACCGACAAGTAAAGCAAGTCCTCCTGACAGGGTGTCACGTGACATGACGTCAAATAAGGAGGCGGCCAGAACGATGACGTTTCCTATGACCTCCAGACGTACCTGCCTGCCATCTGTCAAATACACACGCTGGGCGGGTTTTAACATTTTAATACACTATTTGGGTTATCCAATGATATCGCGCCATTTCAATGAGAAGTTTCCTGCGGACTGTGTCTGTATGTATTTCTATTTGTGCCTGCTAGTTTCAATAGTGAAGATAATACTTGATATATCATCCAGCAGTTCTATACGCATGCAGAATATATTTGTTTGAATGGCGCAATTCAACTGAGTACACAATAATTTGTTCATGTGGAAATGCCGTCGGAATATGCACCAAATACTGACTGGCGGCAATACCTCTAGGTTATGCACGCCAAACATGTAAGTATTACATTCTTTCAACAAGACATAATCAAGCTACAGTGACTGTTGGGCTGAAATTGAGGGGTAAGATCTTTAAACCTGCCGCGATCTTGCTGGAATATTGCTAATAGCGTGGCGTAAACTGAACTCACCCACCAAAGTCTTTAAACCGGAAGTGCTTAATCATAGTAAACGTATCTAGTGTGAAGGAACTGGAGGCACGAGGCATTTCCTTTGTAAGTTCCACTGCTGTCGAGAGATATTAATTAATTACTGTTGTTACACGGAAGTTGAAGGTCGGTGGACGAAGCATATATTGCATCGAGCAAATATCGCAGGAATCAAAGATGTGGGTGAGTGAGCGAGTTTAGTTTGACGCCGCATTTAGCAATATTCAAGCTATATGGCGATTGGTCTGTAAATAATCGAGTCTGGACCGAAAGACAATCAAGTGATCAACAACATGAGGCATACCATCTAGGGCAACTGGGATACGACAGTGTGTCAGCCAAGTCAGGGAGGCTGACCACCTGATCCCGTTAGTCGCCTCTCGCGACAAGCATGAAGTTATTCTAACCCGGATCTTCTCGGGTTTCAAAGATGTAAAACAGACATATATTTGTGGATGTCTACTGTCTGTCTGATTTGTGTAAGTCAAAGTTGGAAATGACACTGGTTCTGATTATGGAAGGATACCAAGATATGGGTGAACTGCTGTCACTGTAATGAAAGAAATTGTTCAGTCACATATTGGTATCCTTCACTTCTGACTGCTCAACACTTCTAAATGCCTCTTTAACAAGCATTGTCACTAAGATGACATAATCCCCGCCGCAAATTATCAAATCAAACTAAAAGCATTAATGCAAGTTTAAGATGAAGTTAAATGTCAACAAAACATGACCAGTGTACCTCTCCTGATATCTTCTCTTTTAGTTGTTCCAAACACACAAAATATTTTCAAGACTGATTCTTGGACTTATGGACATGAATGTCGCAGAGCATGAAATAGCCATAAAATGGTACCAAAAGAAATTGCTTATCGAAAGGGGCAGTCCTGAAAGTCTATGAAGAAGAAAATCCAGTGAATTCAGGTTAACGTGCTGAAATTCCCAAAGGGTGTCGCAGTGACCTTGAAAATGACGTGAAGGTCGCAAAATCGGCTTGGCCCTGCGCCTTCCCTAGATAAAACTTGGTGTTGAATATGAAGAAAACCTAGTGAGCGGTTCTTAAGATTGCTTAACATGCAGGTTAACATACTGAAATCTTCAAAGTGATCAAGCAGTGACCCTTTGAAAGTTAAATTGAAAGGTCACCAAAATCGAACTGGGCCTTATACGCCTTATCTAGATAACACGTTTGGTGTTGAATATGAAGAAAACCCGAGTGAGCGGTTCTTGAGATATTCCCGCTGACAAGAGTAAAACGTTAATGTCAAAGGTCACCAAACCTGACTGGGACCTTCTTGCTACTGTGATGAACCTGGGGTACCAAATATGAAAAGAATCTAGTTAATGGTTCTTGAATATCATCATTCGTACCGTACGCACGGGAATGCTTGGACAGACGGAACCTAATACTTTACTGTTTTCATAGGAAGGGGGTTTAGGGGTATTCAGTGGAGACTATGGGTATATGTAAACATCAATTTTGCTTTTAAACACCTTTCAAGCATGATATGTGACATCGATCAAAATTACCTGAGAGCACAAAATGAGTAAACTAAACTTCAGCATTTTCAGATCTACTCCGGTCCCTCAGATTCCTTGATGAACCTCGACTGGGCTTCTGAAACGCATCTGATAACACTATTGGCTCCCTCATAAGGTCTCCCCAAAATGGCTGTATATCGGAGAGCGATGTTTCGCTTCCAATCTCTTCAGTTGGCGAGAGGTTGTCACGTAGAAACGTTGCGGAAGTAAGCAAGGTTTCCACATGACGTCGCTATACTTGCAAAACATACCTTCAATATGATCCTTAGGAGGACAACAAGACCACGAATCAAAAGGTAACTTTTATCAGTAATCGGTTCACATTTGTCATGGAGTCTATAAACAGATTCTTGTTAAGTGCTATGTCTTGTCAAAATTAATTCCATGACATGAAACTGAAATTATATAGTTACTGCCTCTAGAATAATGATTTGCAAAGAACTAGGAAAATGTATAGACTGTGCAGCATCACAAGAGTTGTAGCTTGTATAACTCACGATATAGCTGAAAATATTGACGATGTGACTATAAATCCCACGCACTCCCATGTAGCCTATATGTCATTCGGTGATGTCAGTTAAGAGCAGATACGTTATATTTTTAGTACACATTTTCGTGTACAGAAATGATTACTTGGCTGCATAGGTCAGTTACTCAGAACGGACCGTCACTAAGAGTTGAAGTGATGAATAGGATTCTTTCTGGCTGACTATGAATGAGTTTGGGACTCACTCTCTTCCAGGGATCGACTATCTATCGGGCAAAATGGTAGTTGATGATGACCAACTTCCGGTTGAGCAGGGCTTACCCCCAGAAGACGTAGTCTTGGGTAACGGATTTTGCCAATGCAACGTTTCCTTTCTTAATTTTACTTCATTTGAAGGTTTTGATGTTCATGTTAAATGCTCACCTGAACAAAGAAGGTATAGTACGACTAAAGGGAAACGACGACGACGACGACGAGAAATATAGGGTGGTGGATAAACTCTGTCAAAAAGAAACGCAACCCCTGTCCTCAGATATGAAAAATTCGTTTGAATGAAGTTATTGCTTCAAACTAAATTTTATTCGAATGTATTGAAATTATACGTAATTAATGAAGATTACCATCAAACAACTGCATTTGTACGCATAAGTGTATTTTATTGCTTATTCCGTCACAACGCATGAAATAACCCTCATGGTGACTTCGCACAAAAACCACATGCAAATCATGAAAATGGCAGTTAATGTAGGGGTGTATAAAAGCCCATGTGCTTTCGTATTATATTCATTCATTTGTCGCCGAAAGCTGTGTTAAAATGCCACGATTGAGTGCTGCCGACCGAAATATCGCCATTGGTCGTGTTCAAGCCGGAGAAAGTTTGGAACTGTTGCACGGCACCTAAATGTTCACAAAACAACGATATCCCGACTTTGGAGCCGCTACAACAACTTCAATTTGACCAACGATCGCCCGAGAAGTGGAAGGCCAAGAATCACGACCCCCCTTCAAGATCGGTACATCCGGGTCCATCACCTGCGTAATCGGCATGCCCTACCAACCGTGACTGCCACACAAATACCAGGTTTGAGGAGAGTGTCAGCTCAAACGATTAGGAACCGTCTGAAAGAAGCGGGTTTACGTGCCTGTAGACCAGTTGTTGGACCTGTACTACGCCCCTACATCGACGCCGACGACTCAGGTGGTGCAACAACGTAAGGATACGGACTTTACAAAGCTGGAGGCGCATCTGGTTTTCTGATGAATCACGTTTTCTTTTGCAACGTCACGACGGAAGACAGCGTCTGTATAGGAGACGTCATAAACGTTTTGCGCCCATCTGCGTCCGACAGGTGGACAGATTTGGCGGAGAAAGCGTCATGGTTTGGGGAACCATCTCATACAACCAGAAATCAGACTTGGTGATCGTTCCAGGGAACCTGACAGCCCAACGTTACACCAACCACGTGTTAAAGCTTCACCTTCTCCCGATTATTGACCAACAGACACAGATTTTCAACGGGACAACGCCCGGCCTCATACTGCACGTGCAACAATGAACTTTCTGCAGAATTCCAACGTCAATGTCTTGCCATGGCCCTCTAAATCACCAGACCTCAACCCTATTGAACACCTGTGGGATACTCTGGATCGACGCGTACGTCAACGTCAGCCGCCGCCACAGACGCTGCAACAGCTCGCCGTTGCACTGCAGGAGGAGTGGAGAGCCATTCCCCAGGAAAAGAATCCGGCGTCTTATCCGTTCTTGTCCAAGGAGATGCCGTGCAGTGATTGCAGCTCGTGGTGCTCATACGAGATACTGAGAAAGACGCCCCCCTGGTGACAAACTGGTGTCTGTGAGATGACTTTTGAAATAACAATTTTAAACATGCCCATCTGGGTTATTATTCTGCCAAATTTCAGACTTCTGTCTTAAATAATAAAAAATGCCGTGTCGTCCTAAAACTTCAGATCAAAATCTCTAAAATACAGGGGTTGCGTTTCTGTGTAATTCCTTCGTTTGATGTTGAAAACATGGCTATTGAAGGTATACATATGGAAACAGGAATAGCAGCACCAATATTTTTATATTATCAATTTGTAACTATTAACCAAAGCAAAGACTTCAATTCAAATTACTGTCTGGATATATTGACCCCCCATTAAAAATTAAATGGCAAATGTGACCGCAAAAAGAACGAAATACTGTAGTTTAATAGATAAAAGCGAACATGGCAAACATTTGACACATTTTGTACTGCGGATAACTATGGTCGTATGATCAGGTCACATGTTAGTCAACATTTCTTGCAACAGCCCTCAGTGGCATGCCAGCATTCTGTATACCAATCTTTGAGCATGTGTTCTAAATAACAATTTCTCAAAAAATTACACATTATCCTTTTAGGACACTGGTTCAGGCTGTTGTAAGTACCTTTTACTTTCGACTTTAAAACACAAGAAAATGAATTTCGTTTTTGAACTATTTAGTTTTGGTATTTCAATATTCAACATTCAAATTCAATATCGTCCAGAGAAGGTCA